CTATTTTTGAATATCTGATGCACTCAATACTTAAATGCTAATTTTAAGAAAAAAAATTTGAAAATTATTGAAGAGATCAAAAACAAAATATAAAATATATGAAAAATTTTGAATATGAACAATGAAAGATTTAAAATATAAAATATGTAAAAGTGCCCCATAGTACATGCAACTCCTAATATCTAAAATAATTAGTAAATGAGGGCATCAAATTAACCAACTCATTATAGTACTCAGTAAAGTTAATGTAAGAACTAGAGCTGAATATGAGAAATTCAATAAAATGCTTGATTGCCTAATAATAAGAAGTCTAATAGATGACAATGATTTCATGCTTGTTTCTGGAATTTAAGGATCAAATTAAAGAATGTAATTTAGCCAAGAGAAGTAGTTATATTCAAAGGAAGTAGGACTGTGGAGCAATTTCAGTGCACACTGAAAGATAAGATATGGATTTCCCGCCATTAATCACAGTATCCAGAGATTCTGCAGAAGTGAGCAAGAGCCTCTCCCAAGAGCAAATGAGCACTTTTGTAGAGAGCCAAACATCAGTGCAAGAGCCAGGATGCACTGGGGAGATTAGCACGGAGCCAGGGCAGGGATGCAGGGTGAGATTTGCCTATTGACAAGCCTTATGTTTGAGAGAAGGCTTCACTGAGGGAGAGGACGCGATCACCTCAGCAAAGCTTCTCCCAGAACTAGGAGCAGTGGCTGAGGCTGCTGTACAGTCCCCAGGATGGGCTCACCTTCCTGCCAGCAGTGTGTGCTGCAATCTGTGCTCACTGTGCTATACCAGAAGGGCCTTCTGTTTGCTCAGGGGTATTATCTCATTCAAGGTGAAAGCATAGAGTTATTGGCAGGCAGCATAAGATAGGAAGTGGAGAAAAACAGGGACAATGGTTGTGGCACACTGGAGTTCGAGTCCCATGGGTAGCCTGCCACTGCTCCCTGCTTAATGAAACTCATAATAACCGCAGCTAATGCAGAGTGTTTACCTTGGATGAGCCAGGGCTAATATCATCTCCTTCAATCCCATCTGGAACTCTGCAAGGCTCTGCAACTCTGCAAGCCATGCTAACTAGGTACTGAGAGGGAAGTTAGAGGAGAAAATTTGACAGTGTGCCCGAAGCTGTGATTAAGACCTCCAGTGTCTGGTAGAGGCTAAAATTCAACATAGTACAGCTCCTTCCCCTCTCTTCTTTTCTCCCTTCGCCTCCCCCTTTATTTCTGTTAAATGCTAATGTCCCTATTGTACGCACAGAGGACTGACAAGGAAAAGGGCTTAGGGTGCTCTGACAGTTAAGCTTGCTCAGTCAGTCAACATGATTGGCTTGGGAGCCACCCAGGGGATTGGTGCAGCCCACTTCTGGGTGTGTCTGTCAGTCATGGAGGTGTGGCCTTGGGCCCTGTGTCAGGTCTCTTGCCCCTTTTTTCCTGCTTCTGCTCCTCTGCTCTGCCTGCCAACTGTCATAAGCTAAGAAGCTCTGCTCTGCGTTGCTCTTCTGCCATCACAATATGCCTTGGAGCCTTCCAACAGTACTGGTTGAGTTCCCTGGGAGCTAAATTAAACCTCTTTTCCTCTATGTAATGGGTGTCAGGTATGGTGTTCGATAACAAGCTAAGTGACACATGTGGTTCTAAACAAAACAATCTTAATTTACACTATGCACAAAAATGAACTAAAGACAGATTAAAGATGTAAGTGTAGGATCCAAAGTATAAGATTTCTAAAGGACAACTTCAGGAAAAAAAAATTCATGATGATGAAACTGACAATGATTTCTTGAGTGTGACACCCAAACACAAGCTATAAAAGCAAATGTAGCAAATAAGACTACAGCAAATTAAAAATCTTTGGTGCATCAAAACGCACAGCCAATGAAATTTACGGACTGAGAAAATTTTGAAAATCATATATTTGGTAAGATGTTAAGAATATACGTAGTATTACTGACACTCAACAAAAAAGAATTCAATCTAAAACCAAACAAAAAAACTTTGGGCTGAGATGATAGCTCAAGAGTCTAAGTGCCTGCTGGGCAAGCACGAGGACCTGGGTTTGATCCCTAATACCTCATGCCATGTTGGCCACCAAAACCAAGTGTGGTGGTGCGTGCCTATAAT